ATATTTTTATATTGTTACCAAATGATCGATGACACAATAAACCACTAATAAAATTCAAAAATATGACGATACTTTTGAGAACGATCATTTCAGGCAATGCAAACAGGAGGTCAGTATATTTATCCTATTTTTTTTGTTCTACCATCTTAATATAGGTATTTGTTAATGATTACCTGTTTATATCAACCTTTTTTCACTTTTGCATTTTAATGTTGAATATTGAGTTATTTATTTATTTATTTATTTTTATTTTTATTTTTTTTTTTTTTTGGGGGGGGGGCATGATGAGACAAGTTTTTTACTTCTAGTAATGATCCCAATGATGGTGGTTTATCATTGGTATTGTACTGTATGCTATTATTATTTCCATCATTGAATAAATGTCATTTTGAATTGAGTACTCCCACTTTCTTATTTCAAATGATTTATCTGATGTATTTAAAGAAATTTAAATATTATTACTATAATTTATTTTTGTATCTTCTAAAGAACAGCCGGTAAGAACGTGATAAGGAAAAGTGATGCAGAAAGAAGATGAATACCACCTCACACCGACCAAAAAATACAGTAATAACAATAATATTATTATAATACTGAGATGAAATATTTGAATATTTTCATCTGTAGCGTGGAACTGTTTTGATCGTTAATAAACCAAACACAATGGAAGTCATGTTGATAACATCGACAAAAGCTTGCAGTAACTTAACATCCATTGTGTTTTTGGTTTATTAACGATTAAAACTGTTTACTACAATAATACTGAGATTATTATTAACAGTGCTTGAAGACCAAAAAGCTGCCTCAACCGGGATTCGAACCCGGGACCTTCTGCTGTCTGAGCAGATGTCATAACCAACTAGACCATTGAGGCGTCATTGGCAATTCAAATCAGATTCACTCATTTGTGCATGTGTAGTTGGCCAACACTAGTTCTGATTGCAAGGCAAATAATAGATCAATAAACACTCTACTTATCAGCATTTAACGACAAGACAGGATCTTTGGACATATTGTCCTATTTTAACTAATTCATAATACAATGCAGTGGCGGATTCAATAGGGGACCAGCTGGCCTGGGCCCTACTAATTCTTTCAAAATTGTAAAAAAATTGAGAAAAAAGAAAAATTGTTTTCCAATTCATCTATCAAAGTCCCTTTCTATGCCCCTCTATTTCAAATTCCTGGATCCACCACTGCAAAGTAGAGATCAAG